TACAGTACCCTTTGTACTCCTTAATAAAAATAAAAATTTTTTTTGCTGATAAAAAAAAAATTAGATGAATGGAATAATATCTTAAAATAAAGAAAGTGAAATAACTCGATTGCTTTTAGGGATAAGGATATAGGTTTTAAGCTTTTGACTTTTTTTTCTTTTTTTGGTTTATCAATTAGTTTTTCACATTTAATCATTTCAATGTGAGATTTTTATCTTAAAAGCCTCAAGTTTTTTTTTGACATACATGCAGAGATTGTATCTGCATAAAAATTAGATCTTCAAAGTGAGACGTATACCATTCCAAATATTTGATGCAATCTTTGAGGGATCCTACCACCTCATCTATTGGTTTGGTGGGCATAACCTTTAACATGGTAGATGCTTAGTCATGTAATTATTATGGTAACCAACAATTTTGAAAACATCAAACATGAAACAATCAAATCCCGTATTAAAAACCCTTGTTCGAATACTTCAAATAAAATGATGAATCGTCGAATAACAAATACCTTCTCGTGGTGAAAAAAAGAACCAGTCACACTACAATGTCATTTCATTAGAAAACGATAGTCTGTACATAAACAGTTTTAAACCTATGCTAAAGTAATCCAAACGTGATTAAATGGTTGTCAATTATTATAGAAAGAGACATCTCTTTGGATAGACAATCGAAGCACCTACAATGTCACTTCATCAAAAAAATGATGTTGTATATGAATAAACAATTTATAACCGTACTACTAGTATTATTTGTAAGTGAAAAAACAATCTTAATCGTTGCGTCTCTTCCTTTAATAGTCAGGGAGGATAAATAAATGTGAAGGTTTATTATTTTTTGGAGAGTTTTTAATTTTTTTTTGTGGTAGTTAATTTGTCTCATTTTTTTAAAAGCCTCTGTTTAGACTCTTTTAATAATTTTTTATTGAGTTTTGCCACTACTAAAGGAGGAAGGCAGTATGAAGGTAAGGTTTGTAGCATCTGCTTCAGCCGTTGACAACATGGACGGGGCTAAAAGTGCTTAATTGTGTCTGTATGTCATGAGCAAAACCATTTGTTTTTTTGAACATATTTGCAAGTGTCGGGTTTTGAACCCAGCCCGGGGAGGGGGGAATGCACCGGGTGGCTTTTGCCACTAGGCCTCAAGGGCCAGGTGCTCAAAACCATTTGTTCCGAGTGCTAAGATTTAGCTTTATTTTGTAGGAATTGTCATAATTTCACTTGTACATAAAATTTAATTAAATGATTATATATAACAAAAGAAGGACAATTGAAAAAAGATTTCATTTTTTATGTAGGTCTTACTTAAACATTTTCACTTAGAACAAAAAAAAAAAAATCAATTGCCATTCTTTCCCTTAAAAATATAAAATAACTAAAAAGGGCAGGCGGTGGTACTGAATTTCATGATTTTTCATTAAAAAAAAATAAAAAACAAAAAAACAAAAACAAAAACATCTCTACCAAATAATCCAACCGAGTCACTGATGTTGTCAATTATTGTTTCTCTATACAAGATGAGAGAGTCATAATCCATTATATTCACAACTTCACATCCCCTTCAATTATATATATCGACATCTCAAAAGAGCATTGCTTATCTACTTCCATTACCCATAACCACACAATCAAGATTGAACAGTACAGAAAAATCTTAGAAACAATTTGATGCTAGTAATTATCACCATCGTTTTATTTATTTCCCACCTTAAATTATATATCTCATTATCTTTTATGTCCCGGTTTTAATATGACACCATGAAAATACACTAATGTCACGATCCTACGAACGAATATTTATGAGATGCTTTCAATCTAACCACATCAATTGCTTTTGGAGAATCTTGGTCAGTGGTGGTCATGCAAATGGTGGTTGAGCTTGATCATCAAACAGATAGCTTAGTGATTGTAACCACAACGAAGGCTTCAAAGACCTCTGTTTTATGCCCTGCAACAAATCTCAGCTTGGATTCTCTGTCAAATATAGACGTAGGGAGGCAAATCCAGTTGCTGACTGGGTTGCATCATAATATCTGAATTCTGAAGTGATCACTGTCTATGTTGATTTGTGTTGATGCTCGCAACATTTCTTCTTAGAAATAAAATGCAGTTTCTTATGTCCAGGAAAAAAGCCTGCTTTAGACTCAGTCAAAATTTAAAGGTTATGTCATTTTCTGTATCCATCAATCAATTCCTTTCATAAAACATCTAAAGATTGCAATTCCCACTTGAACTCCAATTTAAATTCCTTTATTACTATCAATTTTGAACTCGAGATATTTCAATAAGTATTCATAAGACATGAGAGTATGAGACTAGTGGAAATCAAGATTGGAAGACATAAATACAGACAGGGTAGAAAGTGGCAGCATAACTTTTCCCCAGAAATGGAATGGAAATAATGAACATGGGGAAAAAAAGCTAAGTCCCAAAGCGATTATATAATGATTCCATGGATCTACAGAACAACAGTGCACCTTCCTGAAAGTTTCTCCATCAAATCTTATTTTATGAAAAAAAAAAATGAAAAAGGAAAAGAAGAAACAAGAAAAAGGATCGAGAGAGAAAGTATTGAAGGTTATAAACTTATTATAAGCTTGAATGTCTCGCTGAAACAGCTAAGCAGCCTCAGGATTTGCAGGACTTGCTGTTTTTGAATCAATGAGAAGCGACTGCAGTGTTTTTGTTCATTAATAAATGTTTTAACACAACAACTTGAGGTTCGGGAAGGAATTAAATATCTCCGCATGCAAAAGGAATGGAAAGAGAGAGGAATGTTCTAGGATTATTACCTGAATGGAAGTCAAAATTGTAGAAAGTAGAAACATAGTAGCTGGGTGACCATGCATCCTGAATGCTATTCGTGCAGAGTGTACCATCATGATAAACTGCATAAGTCATTCATTTACCAGGAAAAAGAACAAGGTGATTAAATGAAGAAATCATGGATTAGAGGGTATTAGTTTGAAAACAAGTACAGAAATATTATTTCTAGAAATTGAAAATATTATCAAGACTACCACACTAAAAAGGATGGAAGTCAAACACTTTTTTTTTTAAATTTTTTTATCACAGATTAAATTTTTATCATGTCATTCGATATGCTGAATACATGATACATCAACCAACTTGATCAAAATGAAACTTCATGATTACTTCAGAATCATCTCCTATTCCACCATGATGTCTCCTCTCTAAAGTTATTTGTGCATAGTTGATTATAGATCAAATGACTACACTCAAGACACTGGCATCAAGCATCATACTTGAATTTCATGTGTCTATAGAAAAACAAATTGGGTCCATTCTTGATAAGAATCAACAAACCTATAACGTTAAGATGTACAGCAACAGCAAATCGAACACAACTCTTGATGGCATTTTTTTTACCCTAAAACATGCCACTAAATGTTAGCAAACAACTAGATTGGCATAGATGTTTCAGTATCCACACAAAAAGAGAGAAAAGGTTGAAAAGGAAAACAGGAATGGAATTTCTTATATTGTCAGGACATTGACAAAGGCAAAGACATCATTTGTGGAATTCTTTCTTCTATCCTTTTTTCTTTAATAAAAATAGTAAGCCAGAAGTTCTTTTTGTGATAGTTCAGAGGTTTAGAGATGGTTCATTTTCTATGAGGACAACCCTCCTCCATATGTAAAAATACATTAACCAATTGTTGCTACGAGTTCTTTTTGTGATTGCCTAAATGTGTCTGAACCCTCTTTGCCACTACAACTCTAGTTTGAGATAACACAACTTCCACTACTACACCAATGAAACCAACAATCGTCTACTGAAATCTCTCCCTTCATAAAAAGCATCAACTGACCACCTCAAATCTCCACCTCTGGTTACCCTTTTATTTTAGATCTGGTAATTTAATTATTTATCTTCTATCCAAAAATCCAATTGACTACCTGAAATCTCCACCTCATCATGGTTATAAGCTTACAATCCTTCACGGAATTGTAACCACAGGATTGCCTTTTAATTTTAGATCTAGTACTTGAATTATTTATCTTCTATCCAAAAGTCCAATTGACTCTCAGTACAATGCAAACATATGAAATCTTCAATTACATGATTCAATTAAACATCATCATATCATACTGCTTTCCAACCGTATAAAAGAACAAAGTGCATCCAAAACACAGATGAGACACAATAATCAATAACAGGTTGCTAATTAAACAACTTAACTAACCATTTTGACGGAATATTTCAGAAATAAACAGAGCTCAGGGCGGCTTTTACGGATAATTATAATTACTTCCTGCCAAATGTTAAACTAAGACTGAAAACTCCACCTACATTGTTTTTCATCCAGA